GTTTTAACCAATTAAATCTGCTAGTTATTCAAAACAAGGGAATGCTACTTGTTACCAGTAGATATTAAAAAAGTAATAATGGGAAAGAAAAAAAAAATGTCTGTACAAAGTTCATTTRTTGAAAAATTAGGGTCAGAGTTTTCCATCAGTCATGTTCTGACTTTTTGTTTTTGCACGGAGGCTGTGGGCACATGAGGTCAGGCAAGCCCTGTTTCATCAGTGATGTCTATCAATCACCGAATTCTTTGATGCTTGTATCTCTTTCAAGTTCATGACTGTTATTGTGTTATGACTGTTCAAATACAAAGTCTGGAAATGACACATCTTTCAAGGCTGAATCTTGGTTGTGCTAAAAAGGCTTAATCCCCTTGCAACAACTGCTAAGACCTGACAATGAGTTATCACGTGTCTCGTGCAAACGTTGTAAAAACTCAGGAGCAACTGCTGTTTTTTTTTTCTTTTTTTTTCTTCCTTTTTTTGAGAAAAGACTAATCCCAAACAGCTAAATCTGAGGAGAAACAAGAGAGAACAGACAARAAGAGAAAAGGAGTTTAAGAATTGTGTCGCAGGACACATGTAAGTAAATTTATCCTGATCTGTTCAAGGTCCAGAAATGCAAATGATTTAACAGTTCAACTACAGAAGTGCAACGAGGCTTTCATCTTTTTTCCCTGGAGCTTAAATTTGTGAGCTGATTGTTGCTTTCCATGCTCAAGCTTGTCATATCACTGTCTTCTTGTGCACCTCTTGCCCTTCCTGCTGTCCAGGGGTTGGACAAGAAGCCATGTGCATCTATGTCGAAGAGGTGATGACCGTCTTTGCTCTGTGCAGAGACATTTGACTGATCCAGAGAGCCTGTGCTGTTACATTTCTTCCTCAGTGTGGGTGCCAGGGAGTCCGGTGTGAACAGTGATGTCAGGGAGAGGCTGTTCAGTGTTGCTGAGAAGGGTTCGCTATTGAGAGTCTGGTGGCAGCTGTCTCTGCCTGTTCCCGCACGTACCTCTTCATTTGAACRGTTCATAGAGTCCTGCTGGGGGTAACTCTGATTGGTGCTTTCACCTCCAGTGCTGCTCTGGCTCCTCTGCTGTCTATGAGTGGTTTGGAGAGTGACAGTAGAACTCCGCCTCTTAAGCAAAGATGGAACCTGGTCTACTGTGGGTGCTCCCTGGGGGTGAAGAGGAAGGCTGGGTATAGGACAGAGGAGAGGAATGGGGAAGTCCAGATGCTGAGGTGGAGAGACCCCAAAGCTGRGCCCTTTTTCCATAGTGGTCTGCAGGCTGTCCTCCGAACTGCCGGTGGCCAGAGATGAGTCACTGTGGGACGTGTGCTAGACAACAGGACAAAAATGTTTAATTTAGTAGTGTGAATTAGTTGTAACACACATTTCCTAAAACAATCAAATCAATCAAAAGCTAAAAAAGTTTGTGTCTCTTTCTCTCAACTCCCATCCTGAGCTTAGTTCTGCTAGTTACTTCCTGTTAAAAGAGAGTTGTTTCCTTCCACTGTCACCAAAGTGCTGATCAGATTGGGGGATTGCAATGAGATGGCAATTTGACACAATCTGTTGGCTTCCTCTGACATGTAACTTTTACTAATTCTATAATGTTCAGTCTTCATGAGTGAGAATTCAGTAACAGTTCATCTAAAACTCATCTTGTTATCAGATTTGAAATGATATTTCATATATTTTTATATGGGGTTCTGTGGAATACCCTCTCATTCACTGGGGTGAACCCTAACGTACAGTCACTGAGATGGGGGGCAATAAGTATGCCCACTCCTGCTCGGCACCTCTCAGCATGGGCAACTCCAGAGTGGAAGAGTGTCCAACCCCTCTTGAGGAGAYTGGTTCCAGAGCCAGAGCGGTGCGTTGAGGTGAATCCAACTATATCTAGTTGGAACCTCTYAACCTCACACACCAGCTCAGGATCCTTCCCCACCAGAGAGGTGACATTCCACGTCCACAGAGCCAGCTTCTGTAGCCAAGGATTGGACCACCAAGGTCCCCGCCCTTGACCACTGCCCAGCACACATTGCACCTGACCCCTACGRCCCCTCCCACAGGTGGTGAGCCCTTGTGAAGGGGGACCCACGTCTCCTCTTTGGGCTGTTCCCGACTGGGCTCCATGGGCAAAAGCCTGGCTACCAGGCACTAGTCCCACCTCCAGGCCTGGCTCCAGAGTGGGGCCCCTCAGGGACTCTTGTGGGGGGTACTCTGGGAGTATGGGGTACCAGGCCCGTTGATACAGGATGTTAGGTCCCTGTATGACTGATGCCAAGGATTGGTCTGCATTGCCAGTAGTAAGTCAGACTCGTTTCCGGTGAGAGTTGGACTCCAACAAGGTTGCCCTCTGTCACCAATTCTGTTCATAACTTTTATGAACAGAATTTTTAGGTGCAGCCAAGGTGTGGAGGGGATCCTTTTTGGTGACCTTAGGATCACATCTCTGCTTTCTGCGAATGATGTGGTCCTACTGGCTTCATCAGATCGTGATCTCTAACTCTCACTGGAGCGGTTCACAGTCGAGTGTGAAGCGGCCGGGATGAGGATCAGTGCCTCCAAATCCGAGACTATGGTCTTGAGCTGGAAACAAGTAGCGTGCCACATACGGGTCAGGGAGGAGGTCCTGCCCCAAGTGGAGGAGTTTAAGTATCTCGGGGTCTTGTTCACGAATGAGGGA